CAGCCTCCCGAGTAGCCAGGACTACAGGCATATGCCACCATGCACAGCTAATTTTAGTATTTTTAGTAGAGACAGGATTTTAACATGTTGGCCAGGATGGTCTCGATCTCTTGACCTTGTGATCCGCCCGCCTTGGCCTCAAAAGTGCTGGAATTACAGGCGTGAGCCACCGCACCTGGCCTGACTTGGGGATTTTCTACGTTGGCATACTTCCGGGATCTTATTGGGAAACTGCTGATCAGTTTCAGGGGTTTTCTGTCTATTAGGATATTGCCTTTTCCTGGTGCAGGCTGTGGCTAATCATTACTTTTGAAAAGGGTTAGCAACAGCCTGACCATCACCTGGTGGTCACCCAACACTCCTGGCGTGTGTATGGTCAGGGGAGCCCTCTCCTGCCCTGCTTATGCCCCACCAGCCACCTCCTGTAACTATAGGAGGCAGCTGCTCCAAGGTGTGTATTTTAGAACACTCATCGTTGGTTATGAAAGCTGTTCTCCTTTCATGCTGCATATGTCTGCAACGTGTAAGAAGACCAAGGCTGCCGCCGTATTTCTCAAACAGGAGAATGCTACGCTGTCTGCAGTCTTTGTATTTGTAGATCACATAGTAGGGAATTGCAGGCAGTTTTGGGTCAAACCCAGAGCTGTGGATGACTGTCGGCTTTTCCACATTCCAGCTGAGAGATATGAGCTGAACGATTAATATCTCTGTACCCTGGTTTCTTTGTCTGAAAAATAAGGATTACGAATACCAATTATATGGTGGTTCTTGGGAAGATTAAATAAAATTGTACGTGTAAAGCCCTTAGCACAATTCCCAGCACCTAATCAATGTTTTTGGAAAATTATTAATATCTTTATTGCTGTTTTCATAAGTATAATTATCATCATATTAATAGCTAGAGGCTAAGATTGGAAATGTAGACAAAGGTTGTGGGCAGGCGGTGTCCCTATTTCAAAGCATTAGAATAAGTGTTGCATCCTCACCTCCCACCTGGTAACAGATCTCAGTAGAGCAGATACAGTTGAGTACCCCTATCCAAAATGCTTGGGACTAGAAGTATTTCAGTCCCAAGCATTTTTTCAATTTTGGAATATTTGTATTATATTTATCATATTTGGAAACTGATTTTTTCAGTTTTGGAATACTTGTATTATACGTATCATTGAACATCCCTAATCTGAACATCTGAAATCCAGAACCCTTCAGTGAACATTTCCTTTGAGCATCAGTGCTGAAAAAGTTCCAGATTTTGGAGAATGTGGGATTTCGGATTTTTGGATCAGGGATATTCAACCTGCATTGGCTGCATCTGTTGACCCGGATGACAAATGAGAAAGAAAGAGCTCCCTGAGCCGGGCGCGGTGGCTCATGCCTGGAATCCCAGCACTCTGGGAGGCCGAGGAGGGCGGATCATGAGGTCAGGAGATAGAGACCATCCTGGCTAACACGGTGAAACCCCGTCTCTACTAAAAATGCAAAAAATTAGCCGGGTGTGGTGGCGTGCGCTGGTAGTCTCAGCTGCTCGGGAGGCAGGAGAATGGTGTAAACCCGGGAAGCGGAGCTTGCAGTGAGCTGAGATTGCGCCACTGCACTCCAGCCTGGGTGACAGAGCGAGACTCCCTCTCAAAACAAAAAACAAAAAAAAAAAGGAGGAAAGAAAGAAAGAGAGGGAGGGAGGGAGGGAGGGAGGAAGGAAGGAAGGAAGGAAGGAAGGAAGGAAGGAAGGAAGGAAGGAAGGAGCTCCCTGCCCCTGTTGGGGAAGACATGGGTTTTATTTAAAATTTACATACTAAAAACAAGATCAAATAGGAGGAACCGTTTTGAGAAATTTTTGTGAAAGTGCATACTTTAGGAATAGATGTGATTTTCCACAAACCCTTCAAGGATTGTATTTTTGTCTCTGGTTTTCAACGATTTCCCTGAAACTGTCAAACAGTATCTTGTGAAAGGCAGGATGTAGAGGCCTCAGGGTCTGGTGTCAGATGAAGTCAGGTTGGATAAAGCTCTGACACTTAACAGCTGCGTGGACTTGAAAAGATTTCTTAGCCTCAAGCTATTTAAATTCTCTCAGTTCCCTTCTATATAAAATGGGTATAATGGTAGAACCTCCCTCCTTGGATTGTCATGAGAATTAAGTGAGGTGAAGCTTGTAAAATGCTGAGCATAGGGCCAAGAACATTGTGCCAGCTCTGTAATTGGGAGTGACACCCATCCTCGAACGCTGCATGGTCCTAAAAATCTGCCAGAGTCTTGTACTCTAAGATCCTTAAGTCTGCTGCAAATGAGACCTTACCAGATTTAGCTGTAACAATCCTCATAAAGTTCCCCTAGAGGAATGTACTCTTTTAATGCAATGTCTTAGACAGGACTAGGGTATTGGAAGTCTTTTCATACAAAACAATTTATGTCCTTCAGTAAATTGGGGCCTAATTTTAAAGTATAACTCACAGAGCAAAAATGAAAAATGTAGCTCAATTACGAAAGTGTAATTGTAGATCTGGGACTACAGATCTTAGCACAGCAGATACAGTTGAGTATCCCTTATCCACTTTTTCAGTTTTTGGAATATTTGTATTATATTTTTCTTGAGCCTTTTTTCTTGACCTGTAAGAGATTCAGAAAGGGGTAAAATAAGGATACACCATAGTGAAGTTCACAGTGTGATAGTAACAAGCCCTGTTGGTTTCTGGGGTTCCTAGGACCACCTGCCTGTTCAGAGATTTCCCTAGAAAGATCCACAGGGCTCTGCACATATTGTTTATACAGCTAAGTTTTATTCCTGCGATATTGGTCAGATATTCAATCAAACCACAAGGGTTATACTGGTGGAGTTGGTAGGAATCCATGTGCAAGATTCTCATAATCTCCCTCCCACAAAGGTCACACAACGCACACTCTTCCCCCAACAGTAAAACTGCTGAAACATGAATACCGTGTTTCAACGAAGGGAAATCTGTTACAGACTCAGTGCCCAGGAGTTTTACTGTGGGCTGGTCATGTAGACACCCTCTGTCTAGCAGAGGGTATGGTTTATGTGAACACCTGCTTCTTTCTTTTGACGAGTCCCCAAATTCCAGACTCCCCAGAGGAAAAGCAGGTGTTCACATAAACAATATCATTTGCACAGCAGTTTAGGCACCATGGGTGCTCTTATCAGTGAACGATTGACATTGAGAGACAAGTTCCCAGATGAAAAAGGGCCGATCTTGACAACAGGCCTTTCTACAGATGACAGTTCCAGCCCAGCTGCTCTTCCTTTGCTGCACACCATGTGTTGGAGGCTGTCCATGAACCAGACCCTGCACATGTGTGATATCATTACATTTAATACATACACACACAGACACACACACACACACACACACACACCTGTATACACAGGAGCTTTTCCTATTTCAGGAAGAAATAGAACAACTTGACCAAGGTCACACCGCTGAGAGGCAGAGATGAGAATAAAACCAAGAAGACTCTTACTTTTATGTCCTCGTTTTTGCTGGTAGCAAAAACCTTCGGTGCGGCAGAAAATTTAGGTGAAGCTTCTTCCAGTGTTTCTTTGTCAGCCCTAACAGCAAACCGCTCGTTTCCTTGGACTCCTCCTGAATGAAAGTTCAAGGTCTCTTCCCAGCTCTGAAATCATAGGTCATGTTCACCTCCGCATATGTTCACTGGAGAATGAGAGTAACAACTACGTGATAATGTTCTTGTGAATATTCTAAGTCAGAGCCCAAGACCGATTCCCTTTCCTTGGCCTTGAGGGAGTATAACAAAAAGCCAGAAATCACCTCAATTACCTTATTCTTTGTTCTAGGGCTGAAGGAGGAAGGCAGGAGTCAGACCTGCTGAGGTTCCCAAGCTGGGGGCCTCCCATTCTCTTACCCAGTGTCTAAGCTGCAGCCACTCTCATTTAGAAGACAAAAGTCAAACATGGTGTTTCTAACTGAAGACTCACTTCCTAATGCCTGATTTCATTAGCAATCGGGTTTAAGAGACCCAGCTCAACATAGCCACGTTAATACTCTTATTCACCTACTTTGGTTTTAATAACATGTGTTATTGTATCTTTCTCATGTAATGTTGATTTTTTATTGCATGTTTTAAATTGATATTTGATTTTATTTAGTTAGAATAAAAATGGCAGATACTACGTCATTATTTCTATTCAAGTTTCTCATTCAGTAAGATCTTAAATTGCTCTGATATTTTGCGTCCACAACAGAAATGAACAAAATGTGACAAACAAAATGTAGATTACATCAAGTATTTATGGAAAAAGTGCATCGCATCTAAAAACCTTTGCAGGTAATTATAAGTATGCGAAAATAATGTAACTGTGAGGCATTTGAGATGGAATCCATAGTAATCCCTTTAGAGCAGTTGTAAAAGCATTAAGTTATGATTAAGTATACACAATACTCTGTGTGGCTTGGAGCTGAGGAAGTCCAATTCAATCTGAAAAACCCCTTATAAAGAACAGCATTATTTGAGAAGCAAGAGGTTGGGGTAGGTCAGTGAATTTAAAAATAAATGCATTTTGAAAACTTAAGTCTAAACTAACTATAGGGAGAGATGGTGATGGGATACCCTTTCCAGCTCAGTGATTTGAGACTAAAGGATTTGTCACTCCAGCTTATGCACACACATTTGATATTAGTGTCTCCTGCTCAATGGAGAGGCCCACAATTTAATCAAATTTTTTAGGCAAAGCTAGTGAGAAACCACTGAATAATATTCTTCAGCTGTTAAAACATATAATAAACATTTCCCTAAAATGATACATTCTTTATTTCAGTGTTCCTAGCACAAATCCTGCCAAAACTGCTGTGCAAAAGATGAGTTTAATTTCCTTATTTCGGGTACCTACTGATGATCTCTTACTGAGTCAATGAACATATTTCCCTAATCTACAGAAAATCAATATGGGGGCTTGTTGTAATTTGGTTCATATGTCATGATTCCAAAACTGTTATCCAAGCTCGAAATCACAAGGCAAAATATGCTGCATGTTTAAAGATATTAACCAAGTCTATATTTATGAATAATTCATGGCTTGCCAGTGAAGTGGCAGGTTTTGCATACTTTAGCATTAAAAAGTAGTCCTCTTGCTTCTGTCTATTGGTGTTCTTCAAAGTAGAATATTATCTGAGGAAGGGTTAGAGGACATTTAATTAATTTTATTTTGAGATTTATTACATTGTAAGTTTTCCTTAATATAGAACCAAAGTCATCAGCTCAAGGGAAAAAATTTAGTTCATTCACTCCTAGAACTGCTTCCAATATACACAAGACATCCCACATGCATGTTGTCCTAGGGAGGTGGATTTGTGAACACAGTCATGCTCAATTGAATATTTTATTTTGGCGGTTTCATTGGTTTCCAAATATGTGTTTCTCTCATTGTACTGAAATGCTAGTTTCGTTGTTTTGAACTGCATTTCTTGGTAAAGTTCAGTCTCATATTTTTTTTTTTTTGAGGCAGAGTCTCACCCTGTCACCCAGGCTGGAGTGCAGTGAAGCGATTGCCGCTCACTGACTGCAAGCTCCACCTCCCGGGTTCAAGCGATTCTTCTGCCTCAACCTCCCGAGTAGCCAGGACCACAAACGTGTGCCACCATGCCAGGCTAATTTTTGTAGTTTTTAGTAGAGACAGGGTTTCAGCATGTTGGCCAGGTTTGTCTTGAACTCGTCACCTCGTGATCCACCCACCTAGGACTCCCAAAGTGCTAGGATTACAGGAGTGAGCCACCACGCCTGGCCCAGTCTCATATCTTAACCTTATCAGAAGTCAGAAAGGATGAACCGTGAACCACGGCTAATTTCATAAGTACTATAAGTTCTACGCTAATCATGGCATAAAAGGTTTTGAGTAATTAATGTTAGTTTGTATCTCTAAGGACAATCTCTTGTACCTGATCATTGTATGCCTGAGCCATTGACAGACAGGGAATTGAATCTTCAGAGCTCTGTTTCTACATTAACCCTTCCTTCCCCGCACAATAGGTGACCCTTTGAAGCAGCCAGGTCCAACCTTCTGTGCAGAGTCAGTCACGTGCATATTAAGCAAGACTCTAGGTCAAAAAGTTTCCTCCAACACTGCGTGACATACTCAGTAAATTCCCAAAAGACTCCTGTAGAAAAGTCAAGACTTCCAAACCTATACACCCTAGCAGCCCAATTTAAGACATTTGGAAAAATACCCAGTATTACATTTAATGCCTTCTCTCTTGAGAAAAAAGTACCAGACATTCTATATGATTTTTCCCGTCGTCTAATAGAGCCTCAGCAGAATGTCAAGAATAGAGAATTCAGTAACTGAGGGAAAAAAGGAGCCAACAGTTCTCCTGTATATGTAGTTGTCAGAAGGTTCAAGCAACACAATCCTAAGCATTAGCAACAGGGACTCTTTAAAATTTGTACAATAGATAAAATTGGTGATACCATTTCTTTCATAAGTTAAATATGTCTTTTGATTAGGACATATAAATTCCCATTGTAAAGGAACTGTTTTGTCATTTAAATTTAAAATTTTCATTACAACTAAAGAAGAAAATAAAAGTTCCCAAAGCCCTGTATCCCTGAGATATACAGTATTAACTTCCAGTAGTTTTTCTATATGTATATTTTAAAGAAGATACCATTAAGATCATTTGTATTGTTTTTCCACACAGTATTATGTCTTAAGCATTTGTGGGTCCATTAAAATCTTTGAAAATAGGATTTTTGCTTTCCAAGTTTTAACATAAGTAATACATAATCATTGTAAAGGAAGAGATATGGAAATACACTGGTAAGTGGTAAGAGCATCTATATCTATTCTCCCAGACCCAGCACTGTTCTTTAATCCTGATGTCTTCCCATTTGCACATATGTATAAGTGACAAGCAGTATCATGGTGATATTAACTCAAGTGTTAGGAGTACAGAGAGGATGTTCAGCAGGATCGATCAAGGTCCACCCACAGCACTTCCTGCAAAGGTTCCAACGTCCCACCCAGCCCAGAGCAATAAAGAGGGCATGGACCGTGCTCACTGCTACAGATGAGCAGGTTTCTATACCTGTGGAGCCTCACCTGCACAAAATCCAGAGCTCTGGACAATGCTGCAGGGATGGGGCAGGGCGCTTCATTCTCAAAACAGCACAGGCATTTTTTTTTCCCAAAACCAAGTTTAGTAACGAAAGTTACTATAGTACTGGTAAACCTCTAAGATCTTTGACTAGCCTCTGCCTTTGATCCCAACTAGAAAAAATGTATCACATAATACACCTTGGACCATTTTTTGCCCTTTCAAGCACGAATCCAAGCACACTGTAAATGTTTACTTTTATAACCCTCATGGTAACAAATCACTGTCATTAAACCAGTTTTACAATTGAGGCGACAGGAAGAAGCCCAGAGAAGTTAAGTAACCTATCCAGGTTTACACAGCTTGTGAGCAGGAAGCCAGAACTTCAGTCTGGACTATAGAATCCTGGGAGCCGATGGTTTTTGGTGCCACAGAGCTCCAGCAGCCTCACGCAGGTGGGAGGGAGGCTGGGGACTGAATGGCTTCTGGGGAGTCAGTGTCCCCTCTTGTTCCTCATAAGCTGATATTCTCTGTGCATCACCACCAGTTTTATCAGTACCAGTATGCTTTTCACTATACGTAGTTACTTTATGTGAGTTTCTATCTCTATGAGCATCTCTTGTACCTGATCACTGTGTGCTTGAGCCACTGACAGACAGACAGTGAATCAGATCTTCAGAGCTCCGTTCCTGCATTAATCCTTCCTTCTCTGCACAATAGGCAACCCTCATAAGCTGATATTCTCTGTCCATCACCACCAATTTTAGCAATACCAATATGCTTTTTGCTATATGTAGTCAATTAATGTTAGCTTTTATCTCTAAAGACAATCTCTTGTACCTGCTCACTGATTTGTTTTATAAACAAAATATTTTTAATTTATCATGTTTATATTATTTTATAAATATTACTTTTATAAATATTTCTTTTTCCCTTTTGTCTATATTATGATAAACAAAGAATAAAACTGTTGTACTTTGTGGGCAATGCCCAATCTTGTTTTCTGTTTTTTCCCTTAGTATTTACAATTCCTAGAACATCATCTGGATGCATACGATCCTTGCAAAACAGTTAACACAATACAAAGCCTCTATCCTCATTAACCAGTTACCAAGGATTCTGTTCGAGTAATGGAAACCCATGCTGTAGAACAGCAGTTCTCAGTGCTCACTGCACAAGAGAATCACCTGAGGATGGCTTACCTGCCCTTTCGTGATGCCCAAAGTCTATCTACAGAAGTTCTGATTGGGTTGGCCTGGACTGCGGGCCTGGGAGTTTTAAAAGTCTGCAAGTGATTTAAATGTGTGCCCAAGATTGATAATCGTCTTAGAAAGAGAAAGTTCTATGGATTTAGATGGCTTCATTGAAAAAAAAGATTCTTCCTTGATTTCTTATTAGAAGAATTATCATGGATGAATAAGGGTTGTCCACACCCCTCTGAAGAAAGAAACCCGAAATCCGAGCTGGAGTTTCCTTTCCTGAAGGGAAAAGCTCATCTTTGATGGCAAAGTAAATTATTAGGAGATTATTAATTTCAGAATGTGAAGACTCTTTTTTTTTCCCCCCCTAAAGTCTTGCTCTATTGCCCAAGCTGGAGGGCAGTGGCCCAATCACAGCTCATGGTGCAGCCTCAAACTCCTGGGCTCAGGAGATCCTGCTACCTCAGCCTCTTGGGGAGCTGGGACTACAGGCACATGCTGCCATGCCCGGCTAATTTTCCTATTTTTTGTAGAGATGGGTGTTTGCCATGTTGCCCAGGTGAGTCTTGAACTCCTGGCCTCAAGGGATCCTCCCCACCTTGGCCTCCCAAAGTGCTGGGATTACAGGTGCCAGCTGCCACACCCAGCCTCTGAATGTTTAGACTCTTGATTCTAAGTGGCTGGTGTTTCCCAGAGAGAAGAGGGTTGCAATTATGGAGAGTGGCCAGACTGAGGTGGAGTAACTAAGGGGATTGGCCCAGATGATGTGGCAGATGGATTGTGGATTCCCCCCGTGTGGACCCAGCTCCCTGAGCACCGTAGAAGATCAAGCAGGTGGAGCTCTGAGCCCGCGCAGGCAGCTGGGCGCCCGTTTCCTCTGCAGAGGGCTCTTCATCTCCAGCTCAGCTTGAAGGAAGGGAGCTGGCTGTCTCTGAGCAGAAACTGTGGATGTCAAACAGGAGACCCCAGGAGCAGTAGTCAGGGTGAACTGAGGACCAGGGATTTCTTCAATTCTTCTAGCTTGTACAAGTCTCTACGTTCCTGACAATCACAGACGGTGAGGGAAGATCTCCCTCAAAATTACTCAACTGCGTTTTCTGCCATCCCTGATGGGTGGAGGCTTAGCCAGACCGAAGCCTGTTTAAGAATACAAAGGGATGCGCTATCTATTTTGCCTTGAGAGAATGTTGCACTCATGACCTTTACTTAGGCTATGATGGATTTGAGGATGTGGGAGTGCTCAAGCTCCACAACTACTCCCCAGGGGATGGAAAAGAAGGAGGAAGGAGTAAACTGTTCAAAAGAAATGCATGACAGACAGAGATAAAGATGTGTAATGTCTTGATTTCAAAAATATTTAAACTCTGGGATATAGGAGACAGGTTTGGCCTCCTGAGAGCTTTTAAAACGCCACTGATGATGATCACTCTATGCTATGGTCTGAATGCTTGTGCCCCATCAAAGTTCCTATGTTCAAGCCTGTCTTGAAAGTGATGCTATTAGGAGATGAGGCCACTGGAAGGTGATTAGACCATGAATGTGGAGCCTCACAATGGAATGAGTGCCTTTAAAGGGGGCTGGAAAGACCAGAACTTTTCCCCTCCACCATGCGAGGACACAGAGAGAAGGCTGTCTTTGTGAATGAGGTAGTGAGTCCTCACCAGGTGTGGAATCCACCAGCTTTCTGTCTTAAACTTCTCAGCCTCCAGAAATGTGAGAAGTAAATTCATGCTTTTTAAGCTAATGAGTTTATGGCATTTTGTGATAGCATCCCAAACAGACTAAGATCTCGTGACGAGAATCATGTCAGTCATTCGAGTCTTTAATGTTTATGTTTTGATGGAGATGAAAATAGAAATCTATGAATTCCAGTCAAAAG